AAATGGGTCCAACCCCACCAATAGACTGGAGCCCCCTGCAAGACAGGTAGGACCGTATGCTCTTACCATCACTCCTACCTGTTGTCGCGGGTGGAATTTGGAAAAAACAAAAGAATACACACCAGGCAGTCTGTGTTGTGACAGGGATAGTCTGTCCTTTTATATTTTCCTTGGGAGTCTGGGGACTTCCTAACCTGAGGGGATGGCTTCCGTACTGTGCTTATTCGTCTCAAATACAACGATCTTTTCCCTCTAGGCCCAAGCACAATACAACTCTAAAGCGTTGAAAACAAGGGCCAAGTCCCACCAGCAACGTTGAGTCTCGTCAATACCTGAATCTGGACGCGTTTGTGGAGATGTGCGGTTGAGGAAACTCGCACGACTTCTGCAAATCTGCACAAAAATGTCCAGATTCAGGCGCTGAGGAAACTCAACGCTGGTAGTGGGACTTGGCCCTGCCCTAGGTGAAAAGAAAGGGAAAAACATTCAGCGCAGTCAACGGTCTCATTTGAACCGATCCCTATCCAGTGCTAATTCAATTAAATTTTGCCCCTTTCGGGTCCCATTTAGGCAGACAAGCGACTGAATGAAAAGACGAGAGATTGAGAGTAACTGAATTACGAGTGAGAAGCTAGGAATGATAATAGGGAGATGAAATATGGTATGAAACACGGTGCTAGATCTCTCAGCTTTCTTTGAGAGCTCCTGACCCCATCTATTTATTTATATACGTTACTATTTATTTATATATACGTTACTATTTGTTTATATACAGAAAGGGCCAGTGTGGCTTCGCCCCCATGACATAGTGAGTCAGTGCCTGATCGTGTCATTCTAACACACGGGGACTGTGAACCGTTGTTTCAATAAATGACAAGCAAAACATATCGACATATAACTATGCATCCAAAAAAAAAGACATCACATAATCCCCACTTTTATCCCATCATCCACACGGGGGCACAGAGAGAGAGAGAGAGAGAGAGAGAGAGAGAGAGAGAGAGAGAGAGAGAGAGAGAGAGAGAGAGAGAGAGAG